CCGGCTCACCTCTGGGCACCACGATGTCAGCCAGGCGCATGGTGGGCTGGATGTACTGGTCGAAGGCGGGTTTCACGAACTTGTTGTACTGCTTGATGACGCCCTCGATGTCCCGACCTCGCTCGCTGATGTCACGGCGTAGACGCCGTACCAAACGGATGTCAGAGTCAGTGTCCACGAAGATCTTCATGTCCAGGAGCTGTGGGGGGCGGGCGGCATCAAGAGACACGCACGAGTGCCGCTGCTCGCACCCGGGGTCCAGAGGCGGCCCACCCGAGCGCCCAGGCAAGAAGGGCGAGAGGAGCACCCTGAGGAGTGCGGGGGTGGGGCAGCAGCCCCCACGGCTCCAACACGCCTCTCCAACACGCTTCAGAGCCCAACCCGACCCACCCCACCCAGAGCCACGGCCGCCCACATTCAGCCACAGGAGGCCTTCCGCAGGGGAGTCGGAGGGGGATACCTGGAGCTGGTCCCCGCCTCTCCCTCCAGGCCTGCCCACTTCTCAGTGGGAGACCTGCCTGCAGAGCCCTCCCGACACCGCGTGGGGCCCTTGAACGGTGCCCTTCTCTGTCCAACCTGTGACTGTGCTCATGGGGAACAAGGCGGGGCAACTGGGCCCCGCCTCCTGCAGTGCACAGTGGGGGCACAGGGGGGTCAGCCAAGTGTGGCAAATGGAGGGGTGCCAGGAAGCAGAGGCCCAGGGTGGTGAGCCCAGCAGCCCTGGGCGGGTGTGCGGCTTAGAGGAGCAGCTCAAGCTGGGCAGGGCGGTGAGCACCCTCAACCGAGGGCCCCATTCCTTGTCCCCCAGCGTCCCCCCATGCCCCCGTGCCTCACCTCCAGCAGCGTCTTGTCCGCAAAGGCCATGATGCCCTCGAAGATGATGACATTGGCGCCGTAGAGCATTTTCTGAAAGGGAGCCCGCGTGGTTGCCCCTCTGCCCAGCCATGGCATGGCTGCGTGGGTCTGCAGCTCCCTCGCCCGCCCGGCCCTGGCTGCCCGAGCCGCCGACCCACCCAGTCCTTCTTGCGGCTGTGGGTGGTGAAGTCATAGATGGGCACTTTGACGCTCTTGCCCTGCTTCAGCTTTTTCAGAGTAGAGATGATGAGGTCGAAGTCAAAGGCATCAGGGTGGTCAAAATTGAAGTTATTGCGGGCGGCCTGCTCCTGCTGCTGTGTGGTCAGCACCTGCAGGGAACGGATGCCAACGTGCCAGCCCTGTGGGCAGGCGGCCCTGGCCTCCAAGGGTGACTGCGGAGCCGGCGGGTTTGGTCTGCAGGGACGTGTTGGGGCGTGGGGCCAGGGCCTCACCTTATAGAAAGAGTCCATGGACAGCAGGACCACCCAGGGGACGTCCAGGGCCTCGATGATCATCCTGGCCACAGTGGTCTTTCCAGAGGCGCTGCCACCGCCCAGGCCTGCAGAAGACACGGAGGCAGAGGTGGCCTGGGCCGCGCGAACACCTCTCCCACCAGCCTCTGAAAAGAGGTGCCTGAAGCACAGGGCACAGCTGGGCAGAGCCCGCACATCTGCTGGGAGGCGCTGGGCGCCGCCTCCCGCCTGCGGCTGCGGCTCACCAATGACAAAGGCCTCCTTGGACTGTGTGCCGTGCTCATTGTACCAGGGGGGCCGCCCTGCCGTGTAGATGGTCCGTTTGCTGGTCCGCAGCAGGGGTGGCTCTGATTTGCACTGGCTTGTTGTGCGCTTCCGGGGCGAACGCCCTGTGCCCACGGGTGGGAGGAGCCTGTCCAGGGACTCGGCATTGCTGCTGCAAGAGGAGACGCGGAGCTCAGAGGCAGGTGCCCGGCCGCCCACTCTCCATCCACAAGCTAGCACACAGGACAGCCTCCAATGACTAGGGGCTGTGGGAGGTGGCCAGCTGGGCTGGGCGGGAGGTGGATGCCTGAAGGGCCACAGAGACACCAAAGACCAGCACCTCCCCCTGGAACACTCGATGTTGCCAAACCCCTCTGGTGCTGCAGAGCCAACGCAGAGGGGACGGGGCCCCAAGGAGTGAGGCACCATAAGGGACACGGGGTGCCTGAGCTACCATGCGGAGAAGTCGCTAGGCGAGTGAGGAAGGGCCGTGGGGAGGAGCAGCGGGAGCCGCCACAGTGGGAACTGCAAGCACGGCCTAACAACAGGGCACTGCCCAGGCACCGCAGGGCCTCGCCTGCCCTCACACCAGCACTGCCGAGCACATCACACACGTTAACAGGAGAGGTCTGAGGCTCACATGCGTGGCCAAGGTGGGGGCACAGACACGCAGGCACGAAGATGGAAGGACAAGTGCCCACAGTGTGGTCTGCCCTCCCCGCCCAGAGCGCCTGATCTGGAACCAGGTGAGGACGTGCCAACCAGAGGTGGACAGGAGCCTGCAAAACCCACACGGAATGGCGTCCTTGAGACACGTTGGGCAACGTTATGGGTTGCATTGTGTCCCTCCAAAAATGATCAAGTTCTAACTCCTGTACCCGTGAATGTGAACTTGCTTCGAAATGGGGTTTTTTTTTATTACCAGTTAAGTTAGCCACATCATGCTGAAGTAGCGTAGGTCCTAATCTCTCTAACTGGTGTCTTATACGAGAAAAAAGTAAACACGGACAGACACACAGGAAAGACGCCACGTGAAGACGTATCTACAAGCAGCAAAGCAACGCCAAGGATTGCTGGCAGATGCTAGAAGCTGGGAGGGAGGTGTGGGACAGGTCCTCTCTCAGAGCCTCCAAAGGAACCAACACAGCCGGAGTCCTGAATTTGGACTCCCAGCCTCCAGAACTGTGAGAAAATAAATCTGTGTTCTTTAAAGCCACCCACTTGGTGATAGTTTGTTATGGCAGGCCCCGGAAATAAGACAGGTGAGAAGAGCTAACTGCGTTAAGATGTGTCCTGTTCTTGTAAAAACCAGCAAATGGAAAACAACTCGCCGCACACATCTCTGTGCAGCTTGTATGCGTGAGCATGTTGAGTGTGTGTGCATAAGAACGTGTGTGCATGTGCCCGTGAAAACACGTGACAGAACATGTGTGCGTGAGAGAGAATGTGGAACATGTGCATGAGAAAATGTGTGTGTGCGTGAGAACGTGTAGACGTGAGAACGTGCATGCACACTGTGTGCCCATGCATGAGAACGTGTGTGCATGAGCGTTGTGCACGTGTGAGAACGTGGGAGTGCACGCACAAGAGAACATGTGAGAATGTGTACACACACGTTTGTGCAAGAGCATGTGCACGCGTACTTGTGCGAGTGTGGGGAGATTACCTGCGACACACACGTACATGACAACATATGCACGCGCATGTCTGCATGAAAATGTGCTTGAGAACATACGTGTGTAAGTCCATGAGAAGCATGCATGAGCATGTGTGTGCAAACAGGTGCATGTGAGAATGTACGTGTGAGGGCAAACACACGAGAACACGTGTGTGGTTGTGAGAGAGGAGGTGTGTGCGTGCGAGCATGTGCAGAAAAATGCAAAAGACAGACGAACCAGGCAGTTACCAGGAACTCCCTGGGCGCCAGTGCTCAGAACGGGGATCCTGCCCTGCCTGGGTGTTTGGTATCAAAGCCGAGCCCACCGTGGCCTCGGGAGCTCTCCACTCTGCTGTTGCTGCCTCAAGCGGGCCGAGATCCACCGGGAGCATGGTGTCTGCACATGTATGTCGGGGAGGAAGACAGGGAGTCTGCCAACACTCGAGTGCACGCAGCGAGCAGACCACCACCTCTGCGGGTAAGGAAATGCCTGCCTCTCCTCCTTGGGGGTGTGGGCTGGTGAGCCAGTCGGCTGTCCTCAGCATCACCGCCGAGGCCCTGGGACACCAATTAATTAGCCAGTGTGTTCCACCCGGAGCTGGCAGCTGGCATCAGCTGTGGGCACAGCGCTGAGCAGACAACACAGCAGGATGCCGGGATGGCCACAGAGGGGCGTGTCCCCCGTGTGCTGAGAAGGGGCAGGCACTGCCTTCGAACGAGCACAGGGGGAGGATGCAGGGGTGTGGGGGGACACAGAGGGGGCATGAGCCAGCACAGGATGAGCCGGTGCCTTCCACTCGGGCCCCCTCGCCATCCTGCCTGAAGGGGTCCCTGTAAGGAGGGCGGGCTGGCTGCTCCCGGCTCCATGTAGCAGGCGGTCCTCGCCATCCTGGGGGACAACTGGCTGACCCACAGCTGCTGGGGGGTGGAGACGCCCCCTCTTGGGTCAGATCTGGGAACTGCCCAGCTGCAGTAGCCGAGCAAGTCTGGGCAGCCTCCCTGCCGCTCTGTGCCCAACCTCACGGTCCACAGGGGAACTGGCCTTAGCCCTCAACCCAATATTCTTCAGTTCAGGAATGCAGGGAGGAAACGCCAAGACGGAAACACTGACGTTCAGAGCAGGGCCCCCCAAAGCCCTGTGGGCCACATGACCCCGCGGTCTGCTGGTGGCCGTGGCCCGGACCTGGGGGGAGCCCAGCACTGAGCTGTAATGTCGTCACGTCAGGGACCAGCCACCCCTGCTGGTGCTCGGCACCCCCAGGCAGTGAGTCCACGCTCTCATCGGTGGCTCTGTCCTGCTGAGATGACCAGGACCACCGTTCAGGTCCCCAAGGCTGCAGATCCCGAGGCTTGTGCTGCAGAGGACTCCCCTCAAGACAGCAGTACGGGCAGTGGGGACGGTCACAAGCAGGCCAAAGATGCCTTTGCCAAAACCCGCCCACCTGCACTTGAGCCGAGCAGCGTCAGCGGCTCCTGCGGCCAAGTCCATACTCGCCGCCTGCTCGGGGCTCAGTATGTGCACAGCCAGCAGAGCTGCGTCTCACAGGGGTCCCCTCAAAACAGAATGGCTGCACGAAGACCCACACCCCCTCCTCAGACGAACAAGGATGCTTCTGGCCACAAAAAACTGATTTCAACCCAAAGAATCATGAGCAACTCCCAGCAAGACCGTGCGAGCGGAGCTCCCGAGGGGCCGTGCCTGTTTGTTTCCCGATATCCATGGACACCAGCAAGGCTGGCCAGGATGGCCGCCTGCACAGCCACAAGGGTCGCAGGGCCGAGACTCACCTGCCCTCTGCTCCGAGGGCCCAGCAACCTGAGATCCTGATGCTGGGGTAAGCTGGGGGGCTGCTCATGGCCGAGGAACGCGGGTGGCACCAAGCAGCTGGGGCTTTGGGTCCAAGGGCTCCCGAGGTGGGTGCGGTTGAGGCACCGGTGCTGGCAGGTGTGCCCTGAGTACCACGGCACCGTCTGTACCCTAGTGATCCCCAGAGCACTCAGGAGCTCTGGCCACCTGGACTGCCCTCCATGGGGGACGCTGCTCTGGGGCCCCAGAGCGCAGCGGGCGGGGCTCTGTGCGAGGGGCCGTGGGCACAGGCCTAAGAGGATCACTGGGGAGCGCCGGTATTAACAGCACGGCTTTCCTGCAGACAGCAGCCGCCTGACCCAGCCCAGGGCTTACTGTGGACCACTGCGCCCCCTCAATTCCAGACCCCTGTCCTGTCTGGGGTTACAGAACCTGAGCGTCTGCCCTCGAGGCCCGGAGGCCCCAGCACCCCTGCCCTCCAAGGTGCCTCCTCCAGCACAAACAAATCTGAAACTCTACACGAGGAGGCATCTAAGAATAACTGCCCTGCCCTGCCCCCAGGAGGGCCCCAGCAGGCCACCCCTCAGCCACCCAGCGCTCCGCTTTCAGCCACTCCCTTCCCCGAAGCCACCTACCAACCTAGCCGGCCGGAGAGGGGCCCAGCCCCTTGGGATAGCTGGGCCTCTCAGCAAAGGCAAGTCAGTTGAGACGTCTGTCCGTAAAGAGCTTTACAGGGATTTGCACTGATGAACCACTGAGCCCACCCCCTCGGCCAGGCCCCCATCTGCACCAGCTTCCCACCGCCCCTCTTCAGGGTCCTGACGGCTGTCTCTCGGAGAAGCTGACGAGGGCTCAGGGAGAGGAGAAACTTGTGTGCGGCTCACACACCTGGAGGAAGTTCACACACCCGAACGGGGTCTACACACCTGAGGAGGGTTCACACACACCTACGGGGGTTCACAAATCCTACGGGGGTTCACACACACCTGAGGGGGTTCACAAATCCTACGGGGGTTCACACATCTGAGGGGGGTTCACAAATCCT